AAAAGGCCACCAGAGATGAGGAAGAGGCAGCAGTGGGGAAGACTGTCCATGTGAGCAGAGGAACCACTACAGAATGAGGGGCAGGGGGTGGCCTCTGGAGGAACAGCAGTGGCAGGTAGCAACACATTGACCAGACTCTGAGAAGAAGTAGATGTGAACAAAAAAAGACCAGGAAGTTCATGGGCCTGCTGGTTCCTCTTTCTCATGAGATTATTTGGGGCTCAGAGCTTAGCAATTTTTCTAACAGCCTCCAGGAAAGAAAATTACTGTTTTGATAGTATTAGTGCGAATTGTCATAGTCCAAGCTGATATCACCTGGGATATTTAACATGAAGTAAAACATTTTTATTATTATTATTATTATTATTATTATTATTATTATTTCATTGTCCATTGATGACAATGAATTTTGCTTTCCCACTTGCTCTAGGGCCTCAACATTGAAAGAGCAAAGCTACTCTAGAGGGAGAGAAAGAAAACAATCTTCCTTGGGCTATATTGTACAATAAAACAGGAGATACTTCTCTCCAAATTTGATCGTTGTGACATCCTCTGCAATTATCAATTATCAACTATACCGTAATGCAAGACAAGAAACTGTAATGATTTCATTTTTATTAGAAATAATAGATTTTAACACATTATATAAATTCAAACATTACTCAATGATGTTCTAAGTAACTTCTATTGAAAGGAAATGCCTCAGCATGTGTTAAGAATCATAAAACTGGGGCAGCCCTGGGTGGCTCAGCGGTTTAGCACCGCCTTCAGCCCAGGGTGTGATCCTGGAGACCTGAGATCGAGTCCCACGTCGGGCTCCCTGCATGGAGCCTGCTTCTCCCTCTCTCTCTCTCTCTCTCTCTCTGTCTTTCATGAATAAATAAATAAAATCTTAAAAAAAAAGAATTATAAAACTGTCTGGCTGAAATCCCTTACTATTTTGGATGGCATAACTCAAATTTAGTTGACCTTTTTAGGTGGAATAATTCTAATTTTTAGGTCATTATTGGGTCATCTCTAGAATCCAATCTTTATTTTTGGCTAAGACATACTATATATTCACCCCGCAAACATGTCTGCAATATTCTGTGCCTACAGCAATTACAATACCAAATGACTACTATTCCAGGATGGGCTCTGCTTTATTAAGCCTTCAGAGAGTAGTGTATTTGGAATATTAGCTAGAACCTGCTTATTTATTAATTCCAAAAAAAATCAAGAGAAAATAAATTTCAAATTCCACATTGTTAGGCATGCTGGTTGAGTTTTTTTTCTCCTTATATGTACAGAAGTTTTGATGTTCATATTCAAGTCTATTGAGCTTCAATTATGGTTTCCACCTTTGATGTCATATTAGACAAGATTATAAAAATGTTCAACCACCTGTTTTCCTCCAGATGTGTGACACTGTTTTTTCTTCTTTAATCTGATAGATATTTGTATATGGTATGAATAAGATCCAGCTTTACAGTTTTTCCTAACATTAACCAACTACTGGAACTGTATTCAGGTAATAGTTGGTATTTTCTCCACCAACATGAAATGCTGTCTTTGTAATACATCACCTTTATGTGCTTAAATCTGTTTGGGGAATTTTCAAGCTTAGTTCCTCTAAGTTTCTATTTTATTTAGTAAAAAGTACTACACTGTCTTAGTAGTTGTAACTTTATAATCCTTTTTAGTACTTGGAAATGAAATTCTTTCTCCATTAATCTTTCTCAAAAATGTCCTTTCTCATTCTTCCACATGAATTTTAATAATCGTTTTGCTAACATCTCTCTAAAAATCTTTGTCTTTAAATGGAATTACATGAACTTTGTAAATTAATTGGGCAAATCCAACACCATTACATTTGCTGTTCTCATCCAAGAATATAGTGTAAATTTCCATTACTGCTCATCTTATTTTGTGTTTCTTCATAAAATGTTATTATTGTTTTCATTTAAGTCTTACACATTTCTTATACAGTTTAATCATAGATACATATCTCATTGCTATTGTAAATGGGATTTCTTCATCATGTTTTAGCTGTTATAGTAAAGTCAATGGATTTATTCATATTTATCTTCTGTATGGCCACTTAACAAAGTTCCTTATTCTAATAATTCTTCAGTTAATTTTCTTGGGATTATTAGTAAAAAATATATTTTTTAAAAAAGATTTTACTTATTTATTCATGAGAGACACACAGAGAGAAGCAGAAATGAGGCAGAGAGAGAAGCAGGCTCCCTGTGGGGAGCCTACTGAGGGACTTGATCCCAGGACCCCGGGATCATGACCTGAGCCAAAGACAGAGGCTCAACCACTGAGCCACTCAGGCATCTCAAAAATGTCTTTTCAAGTGAAAAAGATGTCACCTCTTTTCTAATAATCATAACCTTTACGGGGCAGCACACCATATAATTTGAGATTAAAGACACATGAGTTAAACTGCTTTAGTTTTAATCGGCTCTACCACTTAGCTGTGTGACCTTGGCCAAGGTACTTAGCTTCTCTGGGCCTCAGCTTCTTGATTCATAAAATGAGAATGATGATAGTTCATATCCTAGGATTGTTGTGAAGGTTAAATGAATTAATATTTATAAAGTATTTAGAACAGTCTCTAGCACATACAATAAGAATGCTAGCCAATTTTAAAATGTATTGTACTGGCTAGAATGTATAGAATGATATTAACTGTAAATGAGGATCCTGGGCACCCAGTAAGCCTCAAACATTTGTTTTCTTGAAATTGCTTTTTCACAATTTAATAATATCTCTCTATTCCTAAATTACTATGTTGTGTGTATGTGTGTTTTCTTACAGTTGCATTTTATCAAATGCTATTTGTAATTCTATTCGGAAATAAAAAGGAGGGGTTCTATTCTTTAGCCTATGACTAATAAATTATTTTAATAAATTTCTCAATATGGGATCACTTGTACATTCCTAGAATAAACATCATTGGTTGTATTGTTCTATTTTTTTATTTCTGTATTCCTATATCCAGTTGATTCAATGAATTTCTATGATTCTCTTTTTTGTCCTTTTATTAGTGCTTTGGGGATTTTCTTTGTTTTGTTTTTTAGTGTTACACTTTTTATTTTTTAATTTTTTTTTAAGATTTTATTCATTTATTCATGAGACACACACACACACACAGAGGCAGAGACACAGGCAGAGGGAGAAGCAGGCTCCACGCAGGGAGCTCGATGTGTGACTCGATCCGGGTCTCCAGGATCAGGTCCTGGGCTGAAGGCGGCGCTAAGCCGCTGAGCCACCTGGGCTGCCCTGTTACACTTTTTATTAAATGAATCAGAAAAATGTTCATCTCTTTTGTAGAGTTCATTGGGTATGGGATAATATGTTCCTGAAAAATAGGTACTTTCAACCACTGATTATAATACCTGATGAAAACAAGATACTTTGCTCATATAAACAGAATATTTTAGCTCCTGCCAAATCTTCCTAGCCAAGCTGGTCAAGAACATAGGCTTAAGCATCAGACAAAATTAGGCTCAAATCCTAACTTCACCACCCACTGGCTAAATGTGTGCACTTGGCAAGGTGCATTTTTATCACAATCACAGAGAAAAACCATACTTTTCTTACCTTTCTCACGTGGAGTTTTTGTGAGGATTACAGGACATTATGTTTATAAACCACTATACACTCCACCCACAATAAAGACACAATAAATTATTTTACATTAGTCTCAATTTCCTTAAATATAAAATTAATGTTTACAATTTTATTTGCTATATTTTCTTAGTATGGAGATTTTAGTTATTTATATATATAGAAAGACATGCTTTTGATAAAATTATTGGTATGAAATTGCTTCTTAATAAAAGGTACATTTCAATTAAGACACGTTACTCTCTGCAGTCATAAATTTAAAAGTGGACGAGGAAAAAAAAAGAAAAAAAAGTGGATGAGAAAGTAAAAATGTTCTGATAATACATGATGAACACATGGCCACTGTCTACATGAAACTACTGCGGGTTATTAAAAAACGTTGTACTGGTTTCGAGAAAACCAGGCAATGAGCCTAAACCAATTTTAATGTCTTCCACTCTTTCCTGTTCCCTTGGAGCTTTTTGTTCTCATGGGAATCTGAGAGTGGGAGGTGGATGTTAGAACCTTCACACAAGCTGAAGCTTACTCCATGTTTTCTGATGGGCCATCTGAACTGCAACAGGAGGGTCAGTCTCTCTCTGCCTGGGAAAACGCAGCACCAAGAGACTGAAGTGGCCTCAAACGTAAGTCCTCCCACCATAACAGAATTTTCGTGAAGTATTAAGATTGCAACACGAATGCAGCCTCACTTTAAAGGACCCACAGTAGGTGAATATAAGAATATACAGATATAGATATACATACATATGAGTATATACAGAGATCTATATATATTCATATTCATCTGCACAAATGGGTGTCATTTATATATATACGTCATTGTCATATATATGTTATTTATAAATATGAAATGTGTGATATATATGGATATATAGATATATATCACCAGCACGAAGAAATCTGTTTCTCAAAAAAGGTGTACTTCAGATTTATGTCTACCAATCAGTGTCATCAAGAAATATTTGCTTGTATTTACTATGGCCTCTCAGGAGATTAGAATTGACCCGATTGGTAATACAATGGTTTCTCTTCTGTTTTAAAGGCTATATATACATTTACAACAATATTTTGGTAGACTAAGAACAACTTAAATAAGCAGAGCTAAGAATGTAAATATCAAACCAAACTCAGTCTCATACTAATCACTGGTCTCTGACAAACACAGGATGAAAATGTCTATCTCAAGGTCTCAGTAGGCATTATTTGCTATTAATTTGACACTGACAATAGATTCTATCAAGCTTCGATTAAACCGTATTGACTGGTTTTCTAAAATGAAGACCTACTACTGTATCTTTTCTTTGATGTTCTCTGGCTTTATAGTAACAAAGATATTCTTAGGGACCTCCTCAACAGGATCAAGGGATCAAAAGTATACCTACCTCTATCTTTTCTGCCCCCTTTGTGGCCTCAATAGCTTGACGATTTCCAGCTTCTCCAAATTTCTCTTGATCAAGTGCCTTTCAGTATACCGTGACCCCTGAAGGAAACAAAGGGGGGAAAGATGTCCTTATTATTCCTTGTCTCTTTTGGAAAAGAACAAATGGTTCCTTGGGCAATAATACTGTCTAATTTAACAAGAAAATGCCACACAATTGTAAAAACAACATGGTTATTTTTTCATTCCTCATCCTCTTTTATACTCTTCTGATTTATAGCAGGAACAGGATAAATTTCCTTGAGTAAGCAGCTCAATACTCCCCTATAAATGAGGAGTGTGTTTCTTCTTATTTTGTTCACTGTTCAAACTCATCAACTGTATTCTGAGCAATCTTTTTTCTGTTTTGCTTCTAAGACTGTGTAACATGAGCAGTCACATGCACTCTTACTAAATAGTAAAAACAACAATATAGCAAGATACATGTTTTTCTTCCCAGCTTTTTAAATTTCCATTGAAAATAGATTCACTAGCTGAGTGACAACCTTTCTCAAATGTGTGATTTTAAAAGCAATAAATCCCTGCAGCAGTTTGTCTTTGAATTCCAATGCCAAGGAGCAAGGACATCGTTTTCCCCATAGTATTTGGAATTCTGGAAGAGAAAACAAACCAAATAGAATTCAGCCTACATGGAATGCCTTGACATCAAGACGTAACTTGAAAATTTGCTGTGAATAGGCATCCGACCCACTTGCCTGGTTTTCCTGTTCATATCCTTTTACGTATTTTTATATATCAAAAGCCCTGTTTTACAAGTAATAATACCGAAAACAACTGGGTTATTTTCATTTCCTCATATACTCCCGATGGAGGTGGCTACAACTGCTCATAGGGTAAACCAGATCTCTTTTGCTCGGGAAGTCTACACATCTGAGCACATGGTACATGCCTACTTGTCCTAGATGAGAGCACCATGTTTCATGTTACAGAGATTATCTGTTCCTTTTTCTACAAAGTGTGGGGCCAGTAATAGCAATATTCCTATGCTTGTATATGCTAACTTTATAAGGGTTATTCAGAGCAGGAAAGAGTCCAGTGCTATCTACTGTTTTCTCCTCTGCCCTCTCCTGCATAATCCACCAAATTCTGACTATTTCAGGCTCAGAATGATCCTCAGCTCACTCTTCCAATTCCATTCTCACAGTCCCACACCTTCTTCTATCCCATCAGTTCCTATAGATGTTAAGATATCTCTCACTAGGCTCCCTGGTTTGACACATGCCCCTTCCAGTCCATATTCCACAAATCATTCATGTTGGGACACTCGCTGAACTTTGTAATTTGTAAAGAATTATACACAGTGGAAATATTGAACGATTAATCTCAAATAAACTATTTTGTCTCCCAAATGCCGACAGTATTATGCTAGCCATCTTTTAAGGTAGTTTTCAAATAATTTCACTTTTCTTCTCTTTTCTTTGCTTTCCATATTTCCTCATAGCTTACAAATAACCCAGCACAAGAGAGTCCCAGGGGGACTGTAATAAAAAGGCAGAAGAAGTAACCTTAGTTCTAGTTACAGCTCATCCATTTATCACCTGTTGACTCTGACGAATCATCTCCTTTCTTGTTAGGTAAATGGCAGAGCCATGTTTATCAAATGAGGATGGAAATATTTGTCTTGCTTATCTCTCTACGTTGCTCTGGGAATCAAGGATGATCACACACAATAAAATACCAAATATGCAATGCTGCTGTTACCTTCCCCGAAGAACTAACTGCAAAGATAAAAAACTGTGCTTCTTGTGTGTTAACTCTAGATTCAGATTGGGTTCCTAGAAAAGGTAGCTGTGATCACACTTTTAAGTCTTGCAGCTTCCTTTTGGGACTGTGATGTTCTAAAGAGTTTTTGTTTTGGCTCCCGAAGGGGGAAAAATACCAAAGGAATCATATTCTAACATATTTGGATTTCCAAGACATGCTGAATCTGAAGAGGAAAGAAAGGAGAAAGGGCTCAAAACAGTAAAAAAATTAACTGGCTAAAACTACCATAACTAAAATAACCCAACTGCCATTTGTGGCACAAATGTTAAAATGCATTCTCCTTAAAACACAGATAATCACTCCAGACATTACTGGTCACTTTCCAATATGAAATATACACCTATTCTTTATCATTGTGTGGTAAGTTTTAACAGGAGAATGTGGAATATGTATAACAGAATGAGTCTGTTTTGCTTCTAAAGAGGAAATACAAAATATCACTTCATATATAAACAGCGCTGAAGGCTCAGTTCAAGGAAGTTCTTATTTTAGACTAAAAAAAGCGGGGGGGGGAATATATTTAAACTCATGCATCTAAACAAACCAAAGAAAGTATAGAAATTAAGTATATATAGAGAAGGGCCAAGTGATAGGAATAAGGCCCACAGTTCTATTTTCCTAAAATTTGGTGAGATGAATGTTAATCAGAGTTTACAAAGTTTAAATTTTCCTTTGGATTGCATAGTCATAATCAGAAGAAGAAAATAACCCTCCATGAAGTATAATTTTTTAAAATTATTGTCACATATTAAGGAGTATATGTATGTTCATTTATTCATTCAGAAACTCAAAATCAATACTTACTGAGGGCCTTCCATGCATGAGACTTTGCACCGGATGTGATAAGATGTTCTGGTTTGAACCCCTTGGCCATATTGGGCAAGCAACAAATACCAAAAGAACTACATATACAGGCCATAAAAAAAAAAAAAATGCCCTGCTCTTCGGCCTTGAATGCACATCCTCCTTTGCTCTCACTAGCAGGCACAGGGCCATCCTTCAAGGATCTCAACTCAAATGTAGCTTCTTTTTTAAAGTTCTTTGGAATATGAATCATAATCCTTGCCATTAAATCACTTTGTGCAAAGCTCTCTAATGCACGGACCATGGTCAGTTTTACATTACGCACTGCGTGTGACAGTCTTCCCTGGCAGCCTGTGAATATCCTGAATGGCAATGTTTTACTCATCCAACCACAGGACTTAGCACGACATACTGTAAGTACTCAATGAGTGATTACTGAATGGAAAATTCACACATCTTTACTTGCATGGGAACAAGATATATCATAACTTCAAAATAAAGATTTGCAAATGTTTTATGTTCACTCTTGCTCTATGTATTTATAAAAAGATGAACTTATACCATGAATGTGAAAATATGGAAAACTCATGTACTCATTTATAAAAGTCTTCACAATAAAATCAGCATTATTCTATTCAAATTCCTTTTCTTACTTAAACTCTTAAGTTTCCCTCTCACTAACTCAACCTATTCTCTATTTTTTCCTACTATATATGCTTGATTTCTCTAACAGTTTTTAAACCAACCTAATAACTAAATCCTTGGCAACTGCTATACAAAAGCTTGAGTAGCTATCATACATATGTAAAATTCTAAATACCCTGGTTCATCCCCTCATTCAGGCAGCAATCATTGTTGTCTACCATGGGGTAGACACCACACAAGAGACACAGGCCATTTCAGGAGAGGGTTACAGCTAGAGTAGTTGATAAAAAATACACACAAATCACCAAAACCAAAATTGTACCTAAATGTCCTATTTCTAATTTATCAGACATTACTAAACATGTTTTGGATGAAGCCTCAGTAGCTGAAGAATGAATTAAGAGAAACAGATGACAATGATTAAGAATCAGAGATCTATTCATGTTTCCCATTCAGTCAATACAAAAGTTAAACAGCCAGTTGTCCTCTTAGATTCAAGTCAAGTATCATAAACATTTTTAAAAGGCAAAAACCAAGTTTTCTAATTAAAAATGAGCTGCCTGCATTGTACAACTGCTTTTATATAGGAATTGGGCAACTTTGCCGAATTCCAAAGTTGACCAACTCTGTTTTAAAAATGTTTATGGGGCAGCCCAAGTGGCTCAGCAGTTTAGCGCCTGCCTTTGGCCCAGGGCGTGATCCTTGAGACCCGGGATCGAGTCCCAAGTCGGGCTCCCTGCATGGAGTCTGCTTCTTCCTCTGCCTGTGTCTCTGCCTCTCTCTCTCTCTCTCTCTCTCTCTCTCTCTCTCTCTTTCGGTGTCTCTCATGAATAAATAAATAAAGTCTTAAAAAAAATTGACAAACTCTGCCCCAGTAATCCCACTGTGAAATTCCCTTGATCCTTTATGTCCCCAGGAAAACTCTTTTTTTACTTCGTTGTCAGTGTTGCTGCTGCTGGGTGGGAGAGGAGACAAAGGAATTTTAAAATTTAATAAACAAGTGTTCTGTGTCATAAGCCTTGCTAGACATGTAGCATTTTATCCCATTTAATCTTCACAACTAACCTACCACATAGCTTTTTTTTTCAAAGCTTAGAGATGGCGAGACACCTACCCTTAAGGTGACATAGCGAATAAGTCACAGAGACAGGATTCAAATTCTGTTCTGACTCTAAAGCTTATGATTGATCCACTATGTACCATGACGCCTCACAATATTTTTGGGACTACTAACCTGGCTGGTATATATAACTTTTCCCCTATATTATTTTTCTCTTATGACCAAACAGTAGGTCCTTAACACTTACTATTTTGCTTCAAAGCTCTATGAAATATGAATTTTTTGGAGAATTGATTCAAAAACAATTCACTTATCCATTTCCTTTGATTTTTCTTTTAACCACTTCCCATTCCTGCACATCTCATACACCAAAAAAAAAAAATATATATATATGTATATATATATGTATATATATATATACATATATATATATATACCTCACATTTTATACTGAAGAGAAACAACTTCAATGCCAAGTGTCTGCTGAATTTATCTTACACGTTCACAGAATTTGGGTGGATGTAAAGAAGCATAATTAAAAAGGCTTCCTTCTGTGGACTATAAGCCCATAGCATAAGATAAGCAAACTTGGTTATGTAAATGATTTCATCGTTTGCAGTCTCTTGCATTCTCTTGTATCATTAGACCCTAAAAGAAGCCTGTTGTGAATACCAACTGGGTTGCCCTCATGAAATAACATGGTACTCAGAGTAGTCTGTAATGATGGAGAGCTCAGAGTCTAAAGGCGTACTTTCTGATTATAAATCTT